TCTTGGATGTCAGTCCATTTAGATCTGGGCCACGCAGGGATTCCCGCAATTCTCAATGGACCATAGTTAGAGCACCCTTATCAAAATAATAGCGATGATTTCAAGAAGGTGCGGATGACCTTCATAGGCGTAGCTGTGTCTTGCTCTTCTGACTTGACAAGTGCACACACCTGCGCATGTCTCACCACATTATTACATTCATTATTATTGTTATTATTATTATTATTACTGATACCATGTAAAGGCACTAGTGTATTTTTTATGTAATAATGCCTATACAATAACATATGCTTTGTTTGATTCAATAAATAAGAGGGCTAGGCAGAATAAATGTGCAATTTCAAATTACATTTTTCATCGCCTTTTTAGTAAAAAAATAAATAATAAACGATGCGTCATATTTCCATAAGCTTTGTTAGTCAATTGTGTATGGCGCTATAACATGCGTCAAAAAGTTTTGTGAAAATCTTCTATTAATTATTTGCAATGATACAGCGTTTTAGCTTTTAGTGAAGCAAATAGCAACGGTTGTTCTGCAAACGAACATGCGCGTGTAAAATTGTAGGCACACGCGTAATGCATAGCGTGATATAAAATCTACACAATGCAGGTGTTGCGAAGGTAACATATCTTTCGCAGAATGGGGAGTTACACGTGAGAATGCATGTTTTTTTTTACTTAATAACTATTGGTACAGTAATGTAGTGAGGTCAACTGACTAAAACTAGTAGCAGGGCGACCGGTAATGTCAGGTTGACCAAAGTAGTCAAACTATCAATGAGTGTAACATGGTATATAATTACAAATGCAATGGTTTTACGAAATAAATGATACATTATATTAACTATTCAAGTGTGTAACCAACTGAGTTTCGTTCTTTCACAGAGAATTTCCTTCATCGTTCAGTTGAACGCAAATGACGTGTGTTTCACCGGCACTGGGTTCTTCTCCCCCACGCGAGGTCTTCTTCTGACCGTAAGTATTTCACTCACTATAATTATAGAGACCGCACGCTAACCGTTAGTGTGTCTACCCCAGCAACCGCCTTCTGATATAGAATTTTCCTATTACTGGACGAAGCATTCTGACCATATAATTATTTCTCTTATAAAATTATCCTTTGACTGTCAGTTGGTCACTCAGTAGACGTCGACTCCTGAGCGTGTATAAATCTCTCAATAGAGGTACATTTCTGAGCGTAGTATGCCTCTCAGGAAACGTAGCATCATGTCGATGTGAAGCAAAGGTTTCAGCAAGAGTCACAAGGTTATTCATTCTGTGGATGTACACGTACACATCTCTCCCCGCATTACTATGTTCTCACGGTTACCAGACTGAGATCTTTCTAACAAATGTTAATCAGTCTGTACATTTTCACTCGCAGATATTTTTTAATGGGTGAATGGCAGAGATTCGTTGTAAAATCAGATGGCGACACTGGGCTTTTACAGCCTATAGCCCATACGTAATGGCATTATTTGCAGCTGTTTACTTATTCGTGTTTACTCCCTTGGAGACGGGTAAGACTAGCCGCACATATACAACATTGACTGGTAACGAGTTGACCTCATGCGATCGTCGCGTTTTATTGATATCAGTTACACAGAATGAAAGATCGATGAAACATATGTAATGATCAGTTAACGACAAGGTGACTATACCCAATAAATTAATTAGATTCTATTGTTTATATTAAGCTTGAACGGCTGACTAGCTCCTTTTGACATAACGGTCTATTGCATTTTTTTCTGATTTACAGATAGGAGGCGTGATCGTAACTAATCTGGTGATAATCATTCAATTTCACATCCAAGGATATTCGAGCAACTGACAAGTACATCATTGCCGTACGAACTAATCAGCGAAAACCTACACGCCAAATGAAACCCCGTATTAAACGGGCGACACTGGAAAGCTAAATTTGTTTAAGATCCACTCACGTATTTCTATGAAATAGTTCATAATAATACAGCTAGGTTATATTGAATATTTTGATAAACTCGTGTAAATCTCTTTTTATCGTATATCGCGTGCATGCCCTTCCCAGTGTATTGTTGTAATTGAGTAAATTAAAGAACAGAGTGGGTATAATACTTTGTGAATAACTATGTGCGTAACTATGTAGGTAATTTACGTACGGTTAATTACATGGCAAGGCTATGAATGCGTATCGTTAACTGATTACATAATTAACTGTGCTTTACGTAGCTTTCTTGTGTTTCACCTATTTATATATACTAGGGCATAAGATCTGCGAAAAAAAACCGGCATTATATTTTCAAAACCGAGAAAATAGTTATCAAATGTAGAATCTATCAGCTATATTTAAAAAACTAAATACGATTGGAAATTTAAACAAAGTAACGATTGTTATAAATAACCTCTTTTTGTTAAAAGTGATCTTCACGCGTGATTAACCTTTAGTGTTAAGCCGTGACTGTCCTAAGCTTCGTTATATGCCATTGGAATTTTAAGAGTGCTATGAGGAGGTGCTATCGTCGTTGCCACGTGTAGAAGGACTTGCGCCTGCCTTACAGGATGAGACGAGAAGACAGAGAAGGGATGACAGTACCGGTCGATCACCCGAGAACCACACCGGCGCATTTGAATCATTGTCATCATAGAGCGGTATTTACGTTCCAATGGCGGCTGCTCTACCGAATATTTATACTCGTTTTTTTTTATTCAGTCCAGATTATGGCCGCGATTCGTAACGTTAGTCCAGCTCTACATCTATTCCAGCACGAGCGCATGTAGCAGCCAAATTCGTGTTATATATGGTTGTAATATTTAGTTTCTTACTCATAGCGCTCGACTACTCGCGGTGTTATCCGTGATCGTATGTTCGGGACTACGTATATTATTAAGATATACCGCTGTACGCATTATACATGAATTAGCCAACACTGAAGGTACGTATTTCAAACACACACATATTTAATAGTCGGTAATGACGGTAACATATATATGCCCGTAATAGTGAACAGTAGTGTACATATCATCGTCAACATTAACAACAGCAACAACAGCAACAACAGCAACAACAACAACAACAATAACAACAACAACAACAACAAGGCCAACATCACCACTACTACTACCACCATCACTACCGTCGACGTCGCCTCCACCAACACCACCAACACCACCAACACCACCACCAACACCACCACCGCCAGAACAACAACAACAACAACAACAACAACAACAACAACAACAACAACAGCAACAACAACACCAACATCACCATTACTACTACTGTCGCTACCATCCTATACCACCGCTTTCAACAGCATCATCATCATCGTCATCACCAGCACCAGCACCACCCCCAACACCACTACCAACACCAACACCACCACCAGCACCATCACCACCACCACCACCACCACCACCACCACCACTACCACTACTACTACTACTACTACATAATGTTACTAATAGGGTAGGGTTTTTCTGTTATCGTGTTTGTACACAAGAAATGTTTCCATTATCATCAGTAAAGGAGAGAACTGTTCAGACTAAATACGATGTTTTTAATTGCATTTGATGTCTCGCATTACTGGTCATTTATTCGCTCCACAATCGCCTTCGCTATTCAAATATATGCGGCGCTGAGGCGTTTATCAGCTAGGGCTCGACAAATTTGATGTCGATGTTTCATAAAGTGCCTATTTCCGGGCTTTTAGCGACACAAATAGTGATTGTTATTGTTACAGATATATGTATTGATAAAAGGAACCATGCAAATAAACATTAACATGCGAGGCCAAATTTCAGGCGCATGCGTAGTACGCGATTCGATCGTAACAATAATTGACAAGGAAGCACTGTGACAGGCAAACGTAACAGGATACCAGTCAGTTAGAAGCATATAACGTGACATATTCTCATCAATAGAGAGCTAAAGGTAAAAAGGGCACAGTAGCCAATACGTGGCAATATACTTACATCAACGGATCCAGAGTGTTCACATTAGAGAACGAGAGAGCAAGTTCATCCAAGTCATATCCAACAACTGTTACCCACGGAGGAGCGGTTCTCGAGATCAAGAAAGCATGCCTAAACACCAGGTGTCGCCAAGTGAGCAGTCAAGGAAAAGTGAAACTGCACTACAAATTCAAAATGAAGATTCTGCTGACGTCACGACGGGAAAACTTTCGTATGGGGAGTTTCTGGAGCTGTTTCGCGCGTGGATACAAATGCTTAATTTTTTGGGACTGTTGCCTATTCAGGTGAAGACACAGAAATCGGATGGACAGATCGTGTTAGTGCGTAGAAAGACGAGTATCTCGTTTATATTATCTACAGCCTGGGTTGTAGTGAGCGTATTCAACCTTGCACGGATAATACCCTATATCATCACCTACTACAGTACCTCCAATAATGTAATTATAATAATGTACGTCATTTGGATAATAACGCAAGTGTATGGAACTGTCACACTAGCGTTGTTTCTACACGGTTCATCAAAGGTGCCATCTCTCATGTACAGATGGTGGGAATGCACGCAGGTATGGAAAGATGGGGAAACCCAAAAACTAAACAAAAAGAAGATCATTCGAAAGACAATGATATTTTGCGTTTCTACGTGTTGTCTCTATGCAACCTGCGTCACGTTTTCTATAATAATTATTTTTAACAACTCTGAGTTTAACAAGGAAATTACCGCTCCGCTTCTGCATCCGCTTGAACTGTTTTTTGATGATGATATCTTAACAGCACCAACAATAGTTACTATTAAAATTATTTCGATGATCATAAACACTATCGTGACAACAAGTGTCATTAGTCTGACTCTGACATTTAGCACTTACTGCTCTCTTGTTGGCTTAGATTTTGATTTTTTAACGAAGAAGATCAATCAACTTGTCCGCATAAACGAAGAAATAACTACAAACAGAGGACAAAGGCAAATACCCAACCAAGCCGATCAGCCCATGTTCGACAATGATGCAAGGTTATGGTCAATAGAGGAGTTACGCCTGCAATACGTAAAGATGGCGGATGTGGTCAGCCATGTACAAGCGCTATACTCACCTATGATCTTCTTTAGTGTGGTTTTCTCCGTCATGACGATAATATTAATGACATTCGTGATCATATTTATAATATCTACCGTTGACGACTCGGGCTTTATGTTAGTTAGTGGACTGATAACGATCACACTATTTATAGTCGGAGTGACTGTAATCATCCTCCAGGGAGCAAAATTTACGGAAAAGGTATTATTGGAAAATATGTGCATATGTCTTGATTTTTTATGCATTGGTAGTTAGCAGACATGATGATGCGACTTATGTACTTTGAACGTTGTAATATAATTACAAGATGTCTGCAGAAGCAATATCAAGAACGGTTTCTTCTCTATTTAAAATGCTCTGATGAAGATTATCGTGTTGTTGTAAAAATACAACTTCATATTCGCAAGAAAAATCTACTAAAACTAAAAATTCTACTCTTGCGACCACTTCCGAATACTTTATTTCGTGAATTGATGTACCAGATTTCCTGAAACGCGTTTGTGTGATAGCCAACGAGATAAACTGCGTTAACAAACTGAAACTGAAACTGAACTCAACAATTGACATCGTCGTTTTAGGCACAAAAGCCGAAGAATGGACTTGAGAAAATAAGAGGTCTCCAGCATTGCGAGGAGCTACAGGTGGCAATTTCGCAAGTGGTTAATTTCGCGGTCGGTGAATTATGAATTAAGTACTTGGTATTATTCGGTATGAATTATTCGCGTGTTGTTATTTTCGCGGTCGGGAACGCGTTCACGAAATTCGCGAAAATTAAACCACCACGAAATATACAGCATATACAGTATATGCAAATAACCTACCAGTTTTCTATAATGTGGTGTAGTATGTTTGTAGCATTAATATGTAAAATTTATATCTAGTAGGCAATTTGTTTTTAGAATTTTAGCATATGGTATTCGTATGATGGTTTAGCTGTTTTAAAATTCAGCGCTTCCCACGTTCAATTTTTGCCCAATGCATTACGCAATCAATTCTATTTCAGATCAAATCAGAGAAGTGCTGAAAACCGATGAGAGAGTCAAGGTGCTTGCCGAAGAACTCTACGATAAGAAATCTCTCCTCATCATGGGTCGAGGCTTCAACTTCGCTACCTGCCTAGAGGGGGCACTCAAAATCAAGGAGTTGACGTATATGCACTCGGAGGGAATCTTGGCAGGAGAGCTGAAACATGGACCCCTTGCACTCGTCGATTCCAATATGCCTTTGATGATGGTGATAACGCGCGACCAAGTGTACTCGGTAGGTCATTCCTTGACATGCTGGTTGCTAGCCTTTGTTGGAGTCCATACCCTTCACTCTTAGAATATTTTCTCACACTCTTTGTTAAAAGAATATGATTTAAGACAGTTGTTAGCACTTTTAATGAAAGACAAACAATTATATTCTTATACTCACTTTACTTAATTGGTTATCTTGCTCCACGATTGTTCGTTATTTTGTCCTTTTATGCCATGGGGCATTTAGCTTACCAGCCAAACTTCTCCATTCCTACCTGTCCCCCTCAGGCTCCCCCAGCTTGTGCCAGCTGGTTTCTGGGGCACGATGTGAGAAACTTATAATAATTCTGACAGTGCGAGTCTAATCCTTTCAACATGAAGTTTTATACATAGTCATTACGTTATAAACTTAGTATTCATGATGTTTATGACAATTCTGCTTTACCCGTCTCTTGATTGCTTGCACACAGAAATGCATGAACGCACTGCTGCAAGTGACGGCGCGCGGCGGCCGCCCGATCATCATCCTGGAGAAGGACGACGACGAGACGAAGAAGCACGTGGAGAAGATGCGATACATCGAGGTGCCGCACACCGTTGACTGCCTTAGCAGCATCCTCACCACCATCCCGCTACAGCTGCTCTCGTACCACATCGCCGTTCTGAAGAAGTGCGACGTGAGTATTATTATTATTATTATTTTTATTATTAAATCTTTATTGCATGTAATTCAAATACAAGTACATGTACAGTCTTTTTCATGGAGAAAAAATCTGATAAATGCAATAGTGTTGAGCAGTTAATATGATAAAATTTCTGAGTGATACAGTACAAAACAGTGCTATACAACATGAAGAAAAAAATATAGTAGCACGTGTATGCACGTGTTAGCTAATCATGATGGCGTTAGTTCACAACTTGTGGAATTCTTAGACGTGTAGCGCTGTTAGTTTGGAATTCAGGGAATTATAGTGGGTTGTAACAGTGTGAGATCAAAATACGCAGAATTCTTGGGAGTCTGACGGTATTAGATGAAAATTTACAGAATTCTTAGTGGTGTAGTCGTGCTAGATGAAAAGTCATATGGAATTCATAATGGTTTAATGGCGTCATTATTATTAGTGTAATAATGTCAGATGAAAACTTATAGAATTCTTAGGGGCGTTTTAACGTTCTAAGTGTATTTGGTCAGAATTTCATGAAAGCTTTAGTTGTAAAAATTACATTTCTAAACTGCCGATAAATAAATTGCATAGGGACTTCTTGTAAACAGTGCACTAAATAAATGTGCTTGGCTGCTATATCAGTAAAATTAAACAGATTTTATGTACATTTAATAATATCCTCTAAAAAAAGTGTGTGAATGAAGTGTTTACATAACAACTAATAATAGGTGCGTTCACACTGGCGCGAATTAGCGGGCTGCAAAACCCGGTTTTTGCAGCCCGCTCGAAAAACCGAGCTTTTTACAAGTGTGAACGCAATTAGCTCACTAAATCGCGCTCAAAATAGCGCGCTGCAAAGAACACTTCCGACTGCGCTAATTTGGAATAAGCGCGCTTATTTGCACCGCGGCGTGTTGTGCCGCTCGGCGATTAGCGAGATATTTCCGCCTGTGTGAACAACCACACAATTAGCTCACTATTATCTCCGCTATTAGCGGGATGAGCAGCGCGGTTTTTCTTGTGTGTGAACACGCCTAATGAGAACCCCAATTACTAGCCTTGGTCTACAAATGATTTATTACGCGTAGCTCAATGAACATTCATGAACGCAAACCTTACCTAACCAAACCAAATTTACCTTACATACATTTTTCGTACATTATCAACAAACCCACAGTGACATCTGCCGCATCATGTGGCATACATTATTGTGAGGTTCGCCAGTAAACATTTAAAGGAGTTTTGGGTTAGAGTACGTTTACCCATGATATAATGATGATCTGGCGGCCATCGTCCATTTATCCAAACCGTTTGAAGTGTTCATCGTTGGGTTCATCGGTGTCGAGAAAGTGTTTTATTTATGCTTGGTGGTAACACTACCCAGCAAGCAAAAGACCTTCAGTGGGGAATAATAATTTTTATTTAATGGCACGTGACATAGCTGTACCATGCGGTATACCAAGCTGGACAATGCGGTATTTTTCACAGACAACGAATAAATATTGCCACCGTAACACAATGTGACCGGTTTTGTGTGCAGAATATCGTAGCAATTTTACCCGCGAGATTGTCACAAATATAATAACCGACGAAGCTAAGCTAATATACGCATCAACATGCGAGGCATTCTGTTAGTAGAAAATTGCAGTAAATGTTGCGTGCTTACACGCCGTTATTGATTAATGTTACTCTTCAGTATTCTTGCCTTTGTATGTGTGGGGGCAATATGATTCAGTAACGCTTGGCCAAATTTGATGTCACCGTATCATAAAGTGCCATTTTCTCGAGCTTTTAGCGTAACAAATAGTACCCGTTATTGTTGCGGATACATCTGTTAACAGACATTTTAGGATAACAGTGTAAATATAGATCTCATATCCGTATGGATATAATTTTAGGCACAATAAAATAAGCCAATGCATTTCACAATGCGAAGCATTTTAAAGCGCATGCGCACTGTGCGATTCTAGATTAAATCAACTAAACGAACGTATCGTAACACTATTTGAAAAGGGAGCACCACGATGGACAGATCTTAACAGATTATCAGCCAGCAACAAGCATATGACGTAACTATATATTTGCATCAATAAAGTAGGGCTAGTAACGTTAAAGAGAGCACAGTCGACAAGTCCTAACCAGCAACTGTTAATCATCAAAGCGATTCGTGAAACGAGTAACATGCCTAAACGCCGGGTGTCGCCAGAGCAGCAGTCAAATCTGAAGGAAATAGCACTGCAAACTCAAGATGAAGATGCTTCTGCTGTCACTATCGATGAGATTTCTTATAGCGAATTTATACAGACGTTTCGCGTGTGGATGATAATGCTTAAGATTTCTGGGCTGTTACCTCTTCAGGTTGAGACACAGTCGGGCGGAAAAGTCGTGGTAGTGCGTAGAAAGACAAGCATCTCGTTTATATTATCTACAGGCTGGGTTTCTGTGAGCGTCTTTAACCTTGCGCGGCTAACGCATTATATCATCACTTACTACAGAACATCCGGCTTTGTACAAATTACAACGAATATCATCTGGGCAATAATGCAAGTGTATGGAACTGTGACAGTCGCGTTGTTTCTACACGGATCATCAAAGTTGCCATCGCTGATGTATAAATGGTGGGAGTGCTCGCAGGTGTGGAAAAATAGAGAAACCATCAAGCTAGCCCGCAAGAAGGTGAAGGTAGTGACCGGCATTACTTGCGTTTCTGTATTTTTCGTCTTAGCGGCCTGGCTTGTTTTCTCAATGATATCTGTGTTTGAGAACTCCGAGCTTATCAGGGTCATTACGGCCCCTTTGCTACATCCATTGGAAATGTTTTTTGGTGACAATTTTTCAACATGTCCAACAGGAGTTGCTTTAACGATCATCGTGCTGATCATGAATGGCATTATTATTACGTATGTCATCAGTCTGCCTCTGACATTTGGTACTCACTGTTCGTTTATCGGCAAAGATTTTGATTTTTTAACCGAGAAAATTAATCAGCTTCTCCGCATAAACGAAGAACTAATTGCGAGGAGCGGGCAGAGAAGAATATCCAATCAAGACGATCAGCCCACGTCCGACAGTAATGCAAGGTTATGGTCAATAGAGGAGTTGCGTCTGCAATACGTAAAGATGACCGATATGGTCAGCTATGTGCAAGCTCTCTACTCACCCATGATCTTCTTCAGTGTGGTTTTCTCCGTCATAACGATAATATCAATGACATACGTGGTCATATTTATATTATCTACCGTTGACGACTCGGGTATTATGCTAAGTTGTGGACTTTTCACGACACTATTGTTTATAGTAGGATTGACCTTAATCATCCTACAGGGAGCAACATGCTCAGAAAAGGTATTTTCAGAGCTTCTTATTTGTTGGTAGCTATAGCTGACAGTTCAAGACATGCACTTAGATATGTATCCGTGTGATTGGAATAAATACCGATTAGGCTATGGGAATACTGGTTTTAAAGATCAATGCATATAACAGCGTGCTGAGTTGATATGCGACATGAAATCTGCATGTAACCTTCACAACCTTAACTAAAGGGGGGACACACCATGCGAATTTATTCGCACGTCCGCAGCGATTGTAAGCGGGGAGTAGCAATTGTAAGCGAATAGTAAATTTACATGTTGAAATGTATGCAAGAAAGCGAGCAAACAGATAATGTGCCAATGCGTTTACAGTTCGTTTTCATAATGACACAAAATTAATTCAGCGATCGTAAATGATTGAAGCGGGAGACACACCATGCGAATTTCGCTGCGATCATATCCGCAGCGAAATCGCGGCGAATTTCGGTGCGGATGAAATTCACGGCGAAATTCGCCCGCGCTTGAGCAGACACACCATGCGAATTCCGCAACGGTTTTAAAATCCGCTGCGATCGTGCGAATAAATTCGCATGGGGTGTCCCCCGCTGGTGTGTTCCTCGCATGGTGCCCCCCCCCCCGCGGGTCAATCATTTAAGATCGCTGAATTAATTTCGTGTCATTGTGAAAGCTGTAAACGTATAGGCACATTATCTGTTTGCTCACTTTCTTGCATACATTTCAACATGTAAATTAACTCTTTAAATAAAGTACGATTAGGTTAATTTTCAATATGAAGTAGCAGCTACTTCTAATTATTATTGTGTCATAACCGTTTCGAGAAATAGTTTTGGTTCTGTTTTTTGTGTAATTTCAACAATTGAAAACGTAATTTTAGGCGCAAAAGCCAAAGAGTGGGCTTGAGAAACTAACAGATCTCTCTCATCACGAAGAGTTACAGGTGATTAAACCTAGATGCTACAATGCTGTTATTTAAATAATTAATTAATTAAGCAATTTATAGTATTTTTTTATACTGGTCATTCATCTAATAAACCGGTTAGAAAGAATATTTAAAACTAGCACAAACGGCGTAGGTGAGGCCAAATTAACTAACGTGACAATATATGTCAGTGATGCAAAACGGGAATGCCTTTAATAATAAACACAGGGCAATAGTTGTCGGCAAGCGTGTTACTTTAATTATTTGGGGTAATTAAAGCAATTGAGTTTTTATTTCACAGAGAATTCTTTTCGTCGTCCAGTTGAATGCAAATGACGTGCGTTTCACTGGTGCTGGCTTCTTCTCTCTCACCCGAAGTCTTCTTCTGACCGTAAGTATGCCTCGCGCTAAAGATCGTATTCTAACTGTGCCTTCCACTAGCGATCTCAATCTGGGCTCATTACGTCTCCACCTTAATGTCTCATGTTGATGACGCATAGATTCCTACAGCAGAGGTTACTGCATATGACATTTCGTCGATTCACACTCTTGTACGTATTCCCACAGTTACCACGTCGACTCAATTTGCTATAACACGTTTTTCGTGTCTCGAATTTCCCCGCTCTTACGTATTTCCTTTAGCTTGGTGTTAGAGATTCTCTGTGAAATCGTACGACTCAAGCACTGTGCACGCATGCTATTTCATGAGCTATGCATATTACCGATGTGTACAATCCCTCAGCGGTCACGAGGAGTGGCGTCTCTCTAATTCACCTATTTCTAATTAACATTTAAAAAAATACTAATTACTCTAAATGTTTGCTCACGAAGCTATGGCGTGCCGTCACTTCGTTGTCTGATGAAAAGAAATTGTCACCCCCACACGCACGCACCCACGCACCCACGCACGTGCGCGCGCACACACACGCACACGCACGCCCGCACACACAGAGACGCGCGCGCGCGCGCACACACACACACACACACACACACACACACACACACACTCTCTCTCTCTCTCTCTCTCTCTCTCTCTCTCTCTCTCTCTCTCTCTCCCTCCCTCTCTTTCTTCCTTCCCCTCTCTATCTCTCCCCCTCCCCATCCCCTTTCCTACACCGGGTTAATTCATACACGTAGCTCTCGCCCATACGCAGCTCTGACCTTTCTCTTCTGGCTCCCCTTCCCCCCGGGGAGGTAGACGTGTGTGTGTGGTAGAACAGGTGCGAGAGACAGACAGGTACACGGGGGCAACAGGCGGCCTGACAGCAGCTGTAGCGCCTGCCTGCCAGCTCTATATATATTTCATAATGATTTTTTGGTGACAATTTTTCAACATGTCAACAGGAGTTGCTTTAACGATCATCGTGCTGATCATGAATGCATTATTATTACGTATGTCATCAGTCTGCCTCTGACATTTGGTACTCACTGTTCGTTTATCGCAGAGATTTTGATTTTTTAACCGAGAAAATTAATCAGCTTTCTCGCATAACGAAGAACTAATTGCGAGGGAGCGGGCAGAGAAGAATATCAATCAAGACGATCAGCCCACGTCCGACAGTAATGCAAGGTTATGGTCAATAGAGGAGTTGCGTCTGCAATACGTAAAGATGACGCGATATGGTCAGCTATGTGCAAGCTCTCTACTCACCCATGATCTCTTCAGTGTGGTTTTCTCCGTCATAACGATAATATCAATGACATACGTGGTAATATTTATATTATCTACCGTTGACGACTCGGGTATTATGCTAAGTTGTGGACTTTTCACGACACTATTGTTTATAATAGGTTGACCTTAATCATCCTACAGGGAGCAAGATGCTCAGAAAAGTATTTTCAGAGCTTCTTATTTGTTGGTAGCTATAGCTGACAGTTCAAGACATGCACTTAGATATGTATCCGCGTGATTGGAATAAATACCGATTAAGCTACAGGAATACTGGTTTTAAAGATCAATGCATATAACAGCGTGCTGAGTTGATATGCGACATGAAATCTGCATGTAACCTTCACAACCTTAACTAAAGCGGGCGAGGACACACATGCGAATTTATTCGCACGTCCGCAGCGATTGTAAGCGGGAGTAGCAATTGTAAGCGAATAGTAAATTTACATGTTGAAATGTATGCAAGAAAGCGAGCAAACAGATAATGTGCCAATGCGTTTACAGTTGTCGTTTTCACAATGACACAAAATTAATTCAGCGATCATAAATGATTGAAGCGGGGGACACACCATGCGAATCTCGCTGCGAATTTCGGTGCGGATGAAATTCACGGCGAAATTCGCCCGCGCTTGAGCGGACACACCATGCGAATTCCGCAACGGTTTTAAAATCGCGCTGCGATCGTGCGAATAAATTCGCATGGGGTGTCCCCCGCATGTGTGTTCCTCGCATGGTGCCCACCCCGCGGGTCAATCATTTAAGATCGCTGAATTAATTTCGTGTCATTGTGAAAGCTGTAAACGTATAGGCACTTATCTTGTTTGCTCACTTTCTTGCATACATTTCAACATGTAAATTTACTCTTTATATAAAGTACGATTAGGTTAATTTTCAATATGAAGTAGCAGCTACCCCTAATTATTATTGTGTCATAACCGTATCGAGAAATAGTTTTGGTTCTGTTTTTTGTGTAATTTCAACGTAATTTTAGGCGCAAAAGCCAAAGAGTGGGCTTGAGAAGCTAACAGATCTCTCTCATCACGAAGAGTTACAGGTGATTAAACCTAGATGCTACAATGCTGTTATTTAAATAATTAATTAATTAAGCCAATTTATAGTATTTTTTATACTGGTCATTCATCTAATAAACCGGTTAGAAAGAATATTTAAAACTAGCACAAACGGGGTAGGTGAGGCCAAATTAACTAACGTGACATATATGTCAGTGATGGCAAAACGGAATGCCTTTAATAATAAACACAGGGCAATAGTTGTCGGCAAGCGTGTTACTTTAATTATTTGGGGTAATTAAAGCAATTGAGTTTTTATTTCACAGAGAATTCTTTTCGTCGTCTAGTTGAATGCAAATGACGTGCGTTTCACTGGTGCTGGCTTCTTCTCTCTCACCCGAAGTCTTCTTCTGACCGAAAGTATGCCTCACGCTAAAGATCGTATTCTAACTGTGCCTTTCACTAGCGATCTCAATCTGGGCTCATTACGTCTGCACCTTGATGTCTCATGTTGTTGACGCATAGATTCCTACAGCAGAGGTTACTGCATATGACATTTTCGTCGATTCACACTCTTGTACGTATTCCACAGTTACCACGTCGACTCAATTCATTGCTATAACACGTTTTTCGTGTCCTGAATTTCCCCGCTCTTACGTATTTCCTTTAGCTTGGTGTTAGAGATTCTCTGTGAAATCGTACGACTCAAGCACTGTGCACGCATGCTATTTCATGAGCTATGCATATTACGATGTGTACAATCCCTCAGCGGTCACGAGGAGTGGCGTCTCTCTAATTCACCTATTTCTAATTAACATTTAAAAAATACTAATTACTCTAAATGTTTGCTCACGAAGCTATGGCGTGCGTCAGCTTCGTTGTCTGATGAAAAGAAATTGTCCACCACACGCAGCGCACCCACGCCCCACGCACGTGCGCGCGCACACACACGCCAACGCACGCCCGCACACACAGAGACGCGCGCGCGCGGCAGCACACACACACACACACACACACACACACACACAGCACACACACACACACACACACACACACACCACACAGCACAAACCACACACACACACCACGCACACACACACGCGCGCACGCACGCACGCCACACACACACATATCTTATATTATATATATATAGAGAGAGAGAGAGAGAAAGAGAGAGAGAGAGAGAGAGAAATCTGTAACTAAAGCACTCGGAGAGCACAGACCTCCGCCAAGGCAGCTTTCTCTCAATGTGAAATTTTTTATTAATTAATTAATTAATTAAGTGGAAAAATTAATTAATTAATTAATTAATTAAATAATTAATTGGATCCGGATCACCACAAAATGTAATCAATTCTAAGTTACCCCATTTCTGACCTATCCTGAAAATTTTATTTTAATGAATGAATTAATTAATTAATTGGTCCGGATCACCACCAAATCTCATCAATTCTAAGTTAGCCCATTTCTGACGTATCCTGAAATTTTATGACAATCCGTCCATAACTTTTGTAGTTATAGGCTTAACCTGTATGATACAGGCGGTTCCGGCACAGCGGCGGCGGCGGTGGTGGCGGGCCAATCAGCCAATCAGCGAGCGTCACAAACCAGAAATCGA